ATGTTTGAGTCTTTTAATTTCGAAGTTTGGGAGCCTGAATTATTTCACTCACTGTTCTAAAATATAGATGAATAAACTACAGTATATAATGCCAAGGCAATACAAGGGTATGTGGGGCTTTTCCTAATCAAAACAGCAATGCTAAACTATAAGGTACTTATAAATTCAAATAAATCTGTTTTATGAAGTGAGAAATCTCATGCTTAAAAACTAAAAGATGGTCAAAACAATTCTATCTCTATAACGTAACAGAAACAGAGACAGCCTAGTAAAGCAACAAAGAACTGGTTGATATCAAGAAATGTGGTGGAAAATTAAAATGCAATATATTTTATAAGGTTAGGGACAATTCATACATTATAGATCCAAACATTATTTTGTGATCCCTCTTCATTTTTGAGACTCACTTCTTTTTGCAAGACATTGTATCAGTGATTAATGGAAAAAAAACCCTTACAAATGCAATATGAACTGAAGAAAAGGCATGCAAAATTTCTTGGTAGATGAAATGTTTAAGTTGGTTTATTTAATCTGAATTCTTATTTTCAGCAATCAAATTGAAATTCATGATATAGTGAGAGCTCTATCAGTATTTCCATTTTAAATCTGAAGGGTTTATCATTTGGCCTTAACAATTCATCCTTCACTGAAATTTGATGCATATTGTTTCAGACTAAGATGGTGTTTTGCTTTAACTTCTATACAATGGCTTTATCTGCTTTCAGATATGCACCAATATATGCATTAAAAGAATCCTAAATTAATATACATAGTGCTACGCTACCAGCTTAAGATTCTTTTTAGGGTCTTAATTGTTAGAATGTGTTTCATTCTGAAGTATGTGGTATTCGGCAAGTGATTAATCCATTACAGAATCTAATTGCTTTTGTTACTCAAGAAAAAAATTAAACTATGATGTTAAGCAGCTTTTCAAATAGGCCATTGCATGTAATCAGTAATTTTTTAATGGAATTTAGTTAGGATTTTTCTGATGTGCATACAGACCTGTTTACATGGCAAACCATAGGCATCTGTTTGGTATATGATGTTTTTAAAAAAATGCTAAATGCATAGCAACACAGTAGGGTGTAGTATTTCTAAAACCGTCATTCACATTTACTCAGTAAACAACATAGGCCAGTTTGCACTCAGTTACTCTAGAGTAACTACGGGATTTGCACCTGCAGAACTTAGACCAGAAACTGGACTCACTTTTACATTTATATTTGTATACATAGAATGTGAATCCCGTTGTCTTTAAAGTTGATTAATGAAACTGTCAAAGTTCCTACTAATTGCAATGAAAGAACACCCAAATCTATGTTTTTCTTCAGATGCTTAGCTGACAGACATCCTGAAAACACAGTTCTGGGAACACTCTCCTGGTGTGGTTTGAGTAACTGCTATATACCCAGATGGATTGTTCATAGCTAAAAGTATTCAAGGATCTGGACCAAGCTCATTGTTCAAAATTAATTCATAGCTCTGAACGTATAAGAGTACTGTTCATTATTATGCTGCTATGCACAATGGACCTGAAGAGCTACCAAGGGAATAAAATAAACAGTATCAGGAGCATGGCCCAGGGAGAGGCTCTGGTTTTCACAACTAAGATTTGAATTCTTTTCTTGTCTCCAACACTGTCTGAATGTGTCTATGGCTTATGTTTTGTTTTTGTTTTCAGATCTTTCACAACCTTTGTTTTTCTTTTTATTTTTTAGGACCTGATACTGCAAAGATACATACATTTCTTTAAGCGCATGATCTGTGAGCAGTTCAGTTGGCCTCCGGCGCCTGGAAGCATAAACAACAGTACTGAAGTCCTCTCTGTGTAAACTCTAACAGTGCTAGAGGGTCCATGATAGCTTCAGGTTTCTAGGTATTACTAAAGTACAAAAAAATAGAGATGTCTGCTCTAAAGAAGGTAGGCACACCACCTAACTTTGGGCACTTACCCTCAGTGCCCAAACTGGGATGCTAATCTTTCTGAACTTTCTATGCAGTCACTGGATAGAGCTGCTTTCACCGAGTTAATTTTAGAGATCCTAGCACCCTGCCCTGAAGTGCCCTGCAGAGAAGCCTGTCCATCTTAGCTATCTATTAGCATGCCCAACTAACAAGCTAAAATTAGGCACCAAACTTAAGAGCTGAGAGCAAAATACCAACTAAGTCATGCAAGGCTTCACTTCAAACCCAGAATTGACACAAAGGAAAAAACAGAAAGATGGAAATGATACAACAAGCTGTAACCACTGTTACCCTAACTAGTACCAGTCTTGTGTCTTCATACACCTCAAAGGAAACATCAATGACATGTAAGGCCTGTTTGTTTCCCTAGCTAACCCTAACATTGCACCTCTTTCATAATTAAAAATACAATTGGGGTACAAAACATATGATAAAACTCTCCTTTAACTTTTTCCTGATATTTTATCAGCAGAACAACATTTCATCCCCTGAATCTGTCTGAAAATTTGAAAGGATCTGTTTATTTCAGTTCAAGTTTATTGTAGTATCTGAGCATGGTTTTCACTGTCACATTGGTATTACGAGGATAAAATTACAACGAAAAAAACCCTGAAATTCCAGAGACTTCAAGATGTTATAGAAGAAATAGAATTCTGGAGAGCTCTGACTACATCTAGTGGAAGCAAATACATTTCATTCCTAATAATGAGCTGGTCTGGTATTGTGAATGGGAAGGTCTTAACCTCATTAAAATGCTCTGTAGGTCTAAACAGAATTGAGTTAGGCATCAGCTGAGACATGCAATTCCCTGAACACATCAAATTTTTAAGACAGCCATTTCCTTGGAAGAAACATTTGAGGGTCTTTCCCACCCAAATAGCAAAATAGAAAAAAGAAAAAGACAAATTCCTTCAGATTCTTTCAAAAACTTGAATTTACTAGGTGTTGGTTGGGCTAGATAAAAAAATTACTGTTTTTTTTAGAAAATAAATATGCATGTTGTAAACTGCAACAAAGAACTTTTTGTGTTTTTACACTAAATAAGACATATATTGGTTAAATATATTTTGATTAGTGGATTGGCAATCAGGGTGACAAGAAAACATAAAACCCCCACAAATTCTTTAGCCAGTAGAAAAAAAAGGAATTTTTGATGTATTTCCAATTTTTATTCTTTGCGCATCCGCCCAAAATTTCATTTAATTAACAGCTCTGAGATTCAGTCTGTTCGTGTACTGACATACCAGAATCATGTCAAGAAAGCAAAATATGGAATTAACATCTCAAAACTGCATGTAATCTTTCCAAACCCCACATCTATTCCTTCTCCCTTCCCCAAAAGGGTGATTTTACACAGACACATAGATCAAAGTTAGAGCAATTCAGAAGAAAAGTCCGATTTTTTTTTAAGCTAAAGAGTTTCTTTCTGTATGTTGCAAGACTTTTGTTTTTGAAATCTGCACGCAAATCCCATGAAGTGTAAAGAAGTGTACCTAGTTACAATCTTGTAACTAGAAAGGACATTATAATCATGTCATTTAACTGTTGACTGCTCGTGAAATTTCTGAGGGAAAAGAAGGGTTTGGTGCCATTCATTAATTACTGATGAGGCTTGTATTTACAAGAAGAAAATGGACAAAAGAAAACCATGCTTTGAAATGAGAAATCACAAGTGAATTTAAGAAGAATTATTTAAGAAAAATTTAAAAGACGAATTATTTTGGTTACTTTTCCTAAATCAGTGTTCCAATCTAACCAAATCCTTCAAATAACCACAAAAACGTTACCACTTTTATGAGTGAAAGATTAGGAAAAGAAATTTGAATATAACTATTTTATGTTTTATATTGTTTAAATGGAATTCAAAAGTATTTTAATATCAGGCATATCACTTTTCTTGTTCTAATTTTGAAAGTATTTTCTGGACTTGTCCCTAAGCTTCATTCACTGTTAAGAAAAAAGATACATGAGTGGACTGAGAGGCACTGAGTGGACTGACATGTCACTGTTTGATATCTTTTCCTGTTTCAGATAAATGCCTTCACCACAAACGTATAATTTCAATTTAATTCATAAAAACCATATGCCCTCACTACAAAGCAGTTATCAGATTTGGTGTGACATATGTGTTCTTATAAACACCACAAGTGCTTTAAAACCTGAAAAAATCAAGAATGAAAAAAATCTTAACAGTTTCAGGAGAATTTAACACTGGTTTGAACACTTCCCTCTATTCAGAAGAGAGATGGCTAAAACAGCCATTTTATCTCCTACAATGGGCTGCTGTATAAAATATGTTAAATGAAATGCACAGCATGTGAGAAAAATTCATGTATTCTAGAGCTGGTAAATTTTCAAAATTTTGCACAAGAAATTCATGGACAAATGACTCGGGAAAGGAATGCGGTTTATACAACACTATTGAACATTGACATTGCAGACACAGAAATGTAAAGATTGAGCTCTAAATTAATTTGAAGTACATGTAGTATGTGTAACATATGCTACCTTGGTATATTATTAACAATAAACAGCTAAAAACGTTTTCTTAAAGAAGATGCCTCCACATATCATGGTTTAGAAACTGAAGTAAAGGTATTTATAACTATAATACAACATTTGAACCCTGAAGTCTTATTATCACTGATTTGTCTTAGGCTTTGACCTTTGAATCTAACCTAATCATCGAACTTAAAATGTTCAGAAGCTCGTTTTCATTCAGTTATAAAATACATTAAGTAACAGAAGTCACACTGGCACCAACACATCAGTAGGGCCAAATTTTAATTTGCAACACATGAGCAAGAGAACTGTATGCAAAAATCGAGAGAAGATTGACAATGAGAACAAGTTTCCTCAGCAAAAATGTGAATTAGATTTTGTGTGACATTCAGAAAGAAAAAAAAGTGAATCCGAATGGCTTCTAGAATGTCTAATTGCTAATTTTTATCATTGTTTGGTTTATCAAGGTCATGCCAGCTAACTTGTTTACCAAATCTCTTCACTAAATTATGAAAAATTACAGATATTACCTTCTGTGCCTTGCATATTTGCCACTAACATGACCACTGCCATCACAGCCAGGCGTGGGACAGCTGCAAAAGACAGAGAATTAATTATATAGGTGCTGGTGTGCTGCAGAAAGATTATACTAAAAGCAGGCAGTAGGTATTACGGAGATGGAGGGCAACAAAGACAGAAAGAGAAATCAAATAACTGAAGGGAAAAAAAAAGAGGGGATGCTTTTTATTAGCAAGTCTTAAGGGAATTAATTTCATCAGTGCAGCAGGGCATGAGCAAACCACCAATGAACTTGAAAGTGCATTATACCCATTAAAAGGCATGAATTTTCTAAATTGCTAATGGGGATACATTTTACACTCAGAGCACTAACCTGAACAGCTCTTGTATGGCTGGTTCCACGGGAACTGCAGAGAGATGGAAAATATATAAAAATTTATCATCTATTACAAGTACCCCTCTTCTACAGAAAATTACCAGAAAGGTTGTGTAAAAGCAAGGGTCAGAATGAATCGTGCAAAGAGATTCTGGAGGATGAAGGTCACCCTGAGCGGGGGCCTTGAGTGATTTACTGAAGCAAGAGACGTACCTCGAACACCTTTGGAGCGTGTGCGATGGCGCTTCTCGTCTGCATCCACCTCCATCTGGGAATAGATTAGCAGGCAGTCAATGTTCTTATCCTGCATGCACAGACTATCAATGCACAGACTGATACAGTCTCTCACACAATTTATTGACACTATTTTAATTCCATTTTATCCTGTAAGGGAAAGTCCACCTTACAGGGGATTTTTAGGATCTTTATGTTTATTTAAAAACAGAAAATGAAGCAATTTCTGCTTTAATCAGTCTGTTTGCATGTCCTGCTTTCATAGCAAATTGTGGGCAACTAAGTGCTCATTCCTCTTTTCAAAGGTATATTTCTAACATAAAATCATGATTACTCCCATATATTTTGAAACAAGGATTCAACAGATTTCTATACAATTTAAAACTAAAGTCAAGGGGTCACACACCATAGGTCGCTTTCTAACCAAACACTTTGCAGTGGGAAGGAATGATGACTGAAAAGGAGATAAAGAATCACCATTAGAACTTCAAAGATTTCATGTTATTTAATATGGCATTACGACCTTTGCCAATGTGTTTCATTGTTTAGACGTGCTTTTCAAGTTTCAGGAATGGGCTCACTTGCTACATATGGCTAAATCTTTACCTTCATTTTATAAACAGCATGCCTATCCGATGCAGCTTTCTATGCAGTAATAAATATACAGCAGTCGAATATTTACCAGACAGGGGCAGGGCTGCAGATTAGACCTTGGAAAGTATCACAAACACTGATCTATAGCAGTTAGCATAGGGCCACATGGTTTCTTCTGATCTTCCTTGTACTATTGTCAACGGACTTTCAAAGCTAAACTGCATAGGCTAGCTAGAGTTTATGATTTTGTACAACACAAGCAGATTGCACTGAACTATGCTGAGAGACTGTGTCAGGGAAAATATATGCAGTATGTGTATCATCAGCTCCTTTGGGTGTGGAAGAACGGGATGGCAAGATGGATCTGCAGTGGTTCGGACATAGAGATGATACTGTTGTCAGGAAACACAGAAATTGACCATGGGGCTCTAGTTCCCCCAGAAAAAAAACCCATCACTGGTTTATAGCAATATCCTTGGATTGATATCTGGTAATAATGCCACATATCTCATACAAAAACATGGAAACAGGTCCAAGTGACTTGCAGTTAACCCTTTAATCAGCTAGCTTTCTTTGGTCATTACCTTAACACAAATGATGTGGGAAGTAACTAACAAGGAAGAAATCAAGGCGTGCTTTTACAGAGCTCCCTCGACTCATTACATCAGGAGGAAGGAGTCAGCACAACAAAATTTGTGGGTGACAGGGATGTGGTGGAAAGAGCCACTCTCACGAGGCTCTGTGCTACTGATGTAGTTGTTCTTCTTGGTAGTCATCATCTGGTTCCTGGTAGTGTGATTTTTTCTACACTGAAGGGATGATCTTCGAAAATAAACAGATACCACGAAAGCTAATACAGCACCGGCCTCTATTAGGGAGCTTCAGTGCAGTCTTCTGATGGGGACCTTTGCATCACTTTGAGTGGGTTTCATTTTTAAATTAAGACACCTACATATAGCTGGGTGCATATACATTAGGAGCATAAGCTTTCATCACCTTCAACCAATGGTGCTATCTGAGATACCATAAGGTATCCCATCAAGCCTTCAATTGCCAGACTAGAAAGGTACAGAAGGGTACAGGTACGTCCTCTGTTATATCTGCCAACCCTGTGTAGATGTTTCAGATATCCTCTGGCATCAGAAATGGCACCAGCTGCCTATGCTTAGGCAACAGAACTTATCCCTAGTTGACATAGCCTCCGGAGCTTGAGGAACAATTCCTCTGATCAACTACTAGGTGTTACGTCAGGCTGGACAGAATCAGTCTCTAGGTACCTTTGCCCATACTATCTAGCTCTCCATTGACTATAGCATGAGATACTTGGCATATCTGTAGATACCTACTACAGGCACCTAAACGGAATCTTAAACTTTAACCCATCCACAGTGTCTATCCTACACCCTGGGTTCACACCCTGGCTGGCTTCTCAGCTCCTAAGATTTGATATACATTTGAAGCTTTTCAAGTTGCCATATCAAAGCATAGAACAGCATCTCTGGAATATAAAAAGTACCCACTAGATGATGATATTCTTTTCATTTTACTAAAAAGAAAACAGTACATTGTGCTATTCTGTAACTCCTGCAATGTGTAAAGACTTGACAGGAGACCAGAAGTGGAGTTACTTGATCTTCAGCCTAGTATGTTTTTTAAAAAGTTTGAAAAACATTATCTAGCATCATTTGCCACCACTGAAAAATCTGCTGAAAGAACTATTATGATCTTAACCTGGAAATGCTGCCCCAGTTGTTATGATACTCTGTGTAAGTTTAGAAGGGGCAAACTACAAAACAGATTTGCCTGTCTTTCTAAACCAAAGTAAGCACTTCAATTCAAGAACACTGTGAGTACACTTTTAACTACACTGACAGTCAAAGGAGAAATCACTCAGGTGGGAAAGCCCGTATAGGATCCACACAATCCAGATCCAGAAGCAGGTCAAAGAAGTGAAAAAAACATTTTAAAAGCTGCAGGCATGCAGTGTTATTTTAAATTTTGTTGTGTGTTCTACATAGCCGCCTGCTTCTCCAGAAAGCCAGGGATCTACCTGCCTTTGTCTGTGACCTAGATGCCCTGTCATATATGTCAATGTGTGTCTTGGATGTTCTATGACACATCAAACAATGGTAGGTGCCTATGTTTAGCCAAGGGAATCTTGCTCTGACTTTATTTATATGCTCACTCACGGATCTTCAAGACTTTGGCTGTCATGTCAAACCTTCAGCCTTCATCCCTCCACGTATTCAATGTTGGATGCTGGGAGCATGCAATTTCCTGAAATTCTACATGAGATATACATTGGTTCTGTGAAAGAATGGTCACCTGCCAGGCTACCATAGCAGTCCCCAGATGCACCCTTGGCATTTCCATGTCCAGGAACAGAATTCTGCTCCTGAGGCCATTACTGTCACACAAACACAGACTTCCTCCCCATTTTCACATGCAGAAAAAGCAAACGTGGACCTTAGTGACTCACAAGGACTTCACCTCAGTAGACCTACTTTATTCATGACCTTTACATTACAGTTCTGCAGAATACTGAGTCACTGTTCCAGAAGAAAATGTGTGGACATGGAGGACAGGCTGGCTAGTGTTAGTTTTAGCCTGGCATCTAAGAGGAGACACCTAGAAGATTATGTATGAAAGCAAATAGCAAGGCACCTGGAGTAGGAAGAGAAGAAATTCCTAACCTGGCTACAAAGAGAAGCTCTACACATGAAAATGGAGACGTCTAAGTTCTTAATTCTGAGAAGAAAAAAAAAGGTCTTGGTAGAAATTAAACCTAGTAAGTCATAATTAAAAATAATCAAATTATTGGATATGCCTTACTTAGGGGTGATGGGCAGAGAGAGGTAGAGCTAGCAACTCTGTATCTCCATTATGTGCATTAGTGTTACCGAAGATTCAGAGAACCAAGACCCTGAATAGTTACAGATCAGTGCGCTAACTAATAAATCACAAGATGGGGTACAAGAGAAGGTCTGTTATACTGGAAGGTGAAGACAACCAAATAGGACACAAGACAGGTTGAGCAGTTTCTTTAGCACTGGAAAAAAATGGGAAGGAAAAAAATCTGTGTTGCAGTGAAGGATTCTTATGGGGTGGCAGATGAATGCTATAACCAGAGAAGTATCATTGAAGTTTCTAAAAATTATATCTGATAAATGTCTCATATAAGAAATGATTTAACGAGCTGAAGGAAATTCTATACTAAATCTCACTTTTCTGGGTAAAAATGAAAAAAAGCCCTGTATGGTCACCTGCATGCAGGCAATTAAGACTTTTTATGCCTTAATGTACCGAACCTGATCCCAATAACTAATACACATACGCACACACAAACACAAGGTGCTTTAAAAGTGTCAGTACACAAAAGCTGGAAATAAGCGTGAGCCAAACTGAATGGAAGAAAATCTTTTAACAGAAAATGATTATGATTAGGAGCAGTTGAAAAATACTTCATTAAATGTTAAAAAAAAAAAGATGCATAATCACATCAGAAGGATTCACTAATAAAAAAAAAAGAAGAAAAAAAGAGAAAGGTAATAACCCCTCCTCAACAATCCAAAGCTTAAAAACCCAACTTGTAGCTTATGAGGATTAAAAAATAATTCATATGCATGTATACACATGTAGGGCAGTTTACTAGTAAACATAAACAATCAATAAGGAGAACTAAAAATATCAGTGAAAACCAAATGTTGAATGGGAAACATAGTAATAATAAGAAATTAATTAAATACATTTAGAAAAAAAAATTCTTAATTATCTGGAGATAATTAAAAGCTAGTATTAATAACCATCAAGATTTTTTTTTAAAAAGTAAAAAACCCCAGCTATTTCTTATTTTAAAATCAAATTTCCAGACAATATTTACACCCCAAAATTAACATAGCCTGATAGTTCTCCAAGACATTGCTGTTGATATATAACAGTCCTGGAACACTTGGGAAATGGTGGAGAACTGCAAAAAAATCTGGAAAAAATTGTACTTGTAACTGTTTAAATTAATCTTTACTAAGTGCCGAGAGGATGGTGTGCCTCACTAAGTTAATCTTCCTGACACTGACCCTTAGTAACATCATACAAAAACTGACATGGGATACAAGACGATGACGTAATTAGCACCAGTCAACATTTTATCATGGAAAATCTGTAGTCAAAAAGACTTGAAACTGCTTTTTGATGATATGTTAAAATTTGTCGATAAAGGTAAGGATGTTAGGGTATCATATACTTAGACACCTTTTAAACATTTTGCTTTCTCTCACTGAACAATCAGACAATAAAATAAACATTTCATAAAATCAGCATATTTATAATGGTTAACAAATATTTCTCCAGAAAAAAATATTTTGTATAAAAATTATTTTCTTTACAAAAATAATTGTAAAAATCAAAAAATACATATTAAATAAGAGCCTTTCTACTACAATC